GAAATTTACTGGTTGACCATTAGACCAGTTGAACGACTTCATGGGGTTTGTGTAGGATCCAAGGGAGGAGGAAGCTTCTGACAGACTAATGTGACATAGTCCTGCATTAGAACCACTTCTGAATACTTTTTAGAAGCTGTGTGAGCCTTTTTCTCTTTTTAATTTTAGTTGCTTTTCAAACTGTAATTAGGGTTCCAACACAATAATAGCTTTTGGCCCAAATCCTCTCACCCAGCGTATTTTCTCTTTTTAATTTTAGTTGCTTTTCACACTGTAATTGTCTGACCAGCTAGGGTTCCAACACAATAGCTTTTGGCCCAAATCCTCTCACCCAGCGTAGCGCAAATGGCCTAATTGTTGGAAGCAAATTGCCCTAAGTTAACAAAACATCACAGATGTCATAAGTTGCACACTGAATTGTGAAACTCAACATGCAACTGACGATGCTGACGGTGAGTGTTTAACTTGGGGCACTTCGTCTCCAAAATCTATAAAGCCCTAAATGGCTTGTGTCCAAACTGTCTCAATGACTGAGTCTCCCTTTATTAGCCCACTCAAGTTTTAAGATCACAAAAAGAGGCCTTTTTCTTAGTCCCACCACCCTCACAGGGGCGTTTGGTGGGGACACAGAAGAGGGCCTTCTCTGTGGCTGCTCCCAGACTTTGGAACTCCCTCCCACAGGAGGCCAGCCTGGCCCCGTCTTTGCTGTCCTTCCACAAGCAGGCAAAGACCTTTCTCTTCAAGCAAGATTTCCCTTAATGACTGGCTGCCTGAAGGGAGTTTTTAAATGGATGATGGTGCCTTACTGCTTTGAGTGTGTTTTGGTGTGTTGCTTTGTTTATCTACTTCTAATGTGGTACTTGTTTGAAACTTTTTAGTATTTGTAAACTTACTGCTTTTAGCTTGTAAATATTGTCTGTGAGCTTTTAGCTTGTAAATATTGTCTGTAAGCCTCCTTGGATCCTTCTTAAGGAGAAAACTGAGGTAAAAATATTTTAAATAAATAATAAGTACAATTCTATGATGCTCTATCTAGCAAGAGATTTCTTTTGAAGCCAGTACAAAGGGGATGGAGCGCATGATGCCCCTTAAAAAAAATAACATGCTGGAGTCCATTTACAGATAACAAAAAGGTAAGACTCTCCTGGAAATTTTATTTTTTTGGACCACAGCTCCGATAATCCCCTAGTTTTCTAAGTTCTGACCACACAGCATTACAAACCATGTTCAAATACTCCACGGAAACATTTCCTATACACTGATAGGAGGCACAGACCACAATGTTGTATTTTGCTTTTTGCAAAATGCAAATGTATAAAAACAAAGACTCTTCTCAATTGTATCTCCTCTACACCGCCTACCCTCACAAATGTGTGAAGCACAAAGTTGCATCTCCTAAAACCAAGGGAGTTTAGGAGAGCAGACAAACACGTACAACTCTGTCCCTTAATAAAAGACATTTCAAGGGGAAAATACTCAAAGCCACTGTAAGCGATTCTGTTTATTCCATTAGAAACAAATACACAGCTGGATTCAGCTTTTGCCAAATCCTGGTTCCTTTCAGAATAATAACCTCTTTGGGATTACTTAATAAAACGTCTTTTCAGAATGCTCCACTTTGCAAAATGGCAGAGTTCTGAAATGCAACGTCCCAGCACAGTTTCTGATGCCGCTCCAAACAGAAGACATGAAACTCTACGTAAAAATATAGGAGACCTGAGTCAGCAGATTTTTTAATCCTATTTGGAAAAGCAGAGAAAGAACGCTTTAGCTTTAGCTTTGCATCCAGGAAACACATTCCTTATGTGACCTCCAGGTTTTGACTGCATCCTGCAAAAACTGTTTGATGGAGCTGTTAGAAGCTCAAAAGTATGCAGGGGGAAACTGATGTAGCCTGAAGCGTTTATGTCTGAATAAG